CTTGACCTGATTGTATACCTTTGGAAATTGCTGCCGACTTAAAATAGCTCTAGTCCTGTCAACACTACCATTACTTTCTGCTGCATGCTGCCAACCTCGTAAAAAAACAAGTTCGGCAAAATATTCCCGATGAAGTCGTGCCAAGACAATAAAACTTATCTCAGTTATACAAGTTACTCCAAAATCACAAATGAGCACGTCATTCAAACTAGGAGCCTGGGCTTAAAATACTCCCATTAAAGTAAAGTAGTTGGACGACTAGTGTCAGAACCCAGGGTATAAGTGACGGAATAGTACATTGAGGAAAAGTCTGAGACAACATATGATACAGTATGAACAGAGAAAACAGCCGTGGAGGCAAAGAAACAAGGATTTCGGCAGATCTATATATTGTCTTCTGACATAAAAAATAATTCTTGAAAGATCAGCGTAAATTGAATTGTCATCAATTCTGCTATTGGAAGCTCGGGGTTATCAAAACATGTCCTATATAATAATTTGAAAATGTCGCTAGGAAATTCCAAATAAATTAGCAATACAAATTTAAGCCCAAAACACATGATATATACAGCTATCTAAACACCTCAAAGCTGATAACCTGCACAACATGAATGTGACTCCACCTTATTGTTACTCATCGCTAAAGAGGAAAGTTCTACACAGATCGATAAGTCGAGAAACATATAATTTTACATTACGTTTCTCGTTGAGAAATACCCATTTCAGTGTATAGGCCGTAGGGAAATGTACCAGATGGAAACACTTAAATTATGGCAATTAAACAGCATAGTTATTTGACTAATTTCTCTCCGAGTAAGAAGTCTTAAAGATGATTATAAGTCTGTCTGATGTTTAAAAACTGTAAACATTTCTACTTAATCAAAAAATGCATTGCACCTATAAAACACAATTTATTCTGTAGCAAAAATTCAGCTTATATCTTTAAAATATCTATAAAGCTTTTGTTTATCATTAACAACTGAACTTTACAATACAGAATGGAATTTACGTCAAAAATGGCACATTAAATGAACAACGTCCAACTTCATTCCTTTTAATGCTTTCTGCTTTTGTTCTTAAGAAACTGAACCATTATAAGCACAAAGTGGAATTGTCTTGAGCAAAACGGCACAGTAAATTAGCCCCTAGATATACGTGTATATATTCTATAGACCGTAAAACAAGGTTAACGTTCAATACAAAGGTCTTTGATTTCTTGAGGACAGATGGCCGGCTGAAGTGATTTCTCCGTAAGCAGAAGTGATTTCTCCGTCCAGTAGCCCAAGGGTTAATGACTTTCAATTATTGACTAGTCTGTTTCTTTTGAAGTGAAATCTGAGAAAAATATAGCCAGCCATACCTCAGGGGGATAATCACCAGCCTGTTGAGTAGAAGACTGGGCTTGTAACTCATTCCTGTAATTGTCTTGCCTAAATCGAGGTCTATAAGAACACCCAATACATGCCCAATACTCCATTTTCCTATTTAGAGCTCCTTTGAATCTATTATATATTAGATGTCCCCTGGTGTATTTAATCGGTATCAAAAGAGTTCCGAAGATGGTACAATTTTCTAATTAAAGCAGTAAATGTGGTCCAGCCATTGTAAAAATACTCTACAAAAGGACTTGGACCATCATTTAGAAAGTGTATTGATAAGACCTCTAAGGCTAAATGGCTAACATAAAGAATACTATTATGTAAACTGTCAAAATACTTATATGTTATATGGGTCACGACTTACCATAATGTTGATGTTTTCGTCAGAACTACTGACCTCAGGTGAAATAGGACAGTCCAGGTACAACCAGTCGTTATACTGAAGGTTTTAATGACAATTTTATAACTGCTGCACTTAATTATTGTTCTTTTTAACCCTTTCACCCCTAGGTAGCTTGAGCAGAGTCTTCCATGCATTGATCTGGATGAGTCCATAATGGTCTACAGTGGTGAAAGGGTTAATGACAATTTTATAACTGCTGCACTTAATTATTGTTCTTTTAACCCTAAATTCACCCCTAAGGTAGCTTGAGTCGACTCTACCATATATTCATCTGGATGAGTCCACTCTAGTCTAGAGTGGTGAAAGGGTTAAAGAGAATTTTCCTCCAAACTAGCTGTCTAAGCAGCATGCAGTGCCATGCTATCTTTTATTATCAATGCTGTGATAAAATGACTTTCTCACTTAATAAGGTAAAACATGTTTGTAATGAATGCAATACAAGGGAAGAAAAATAGAATCTTTTTGTATAAGATCATCTGTTCTGGATTAAAACCATTTCAAAGAACTAAGCGTCTCCTCACTGATTTGCGTGTCCCCTGAGTTGGTCATTTTCTTGTCTCCGTAAGAATTTCCAGACATTTCTCCTTGGTGAACTAGTCAATCGTTTCCGTTATACTTCCTGTCTTAGAAACAGGACATGCAAACTGACCAATCGACCACTCAGAAATGACCTCAATCAATGACCGCTATTGCACTTTTAGCAAGAGTGCACCTATTTAGAAAATACCTTTTCTCGGGGGGAAAAAACCCCAAACAGAAGCCGTCAGTGGCAGGCACCACACTTCAACAACCATTTCTATGAATATAACTTTCGACATTTTAAATTTTAATTCATTTCTTTTTAATTACATTTTCCACTTTATCATCATCCATGCCTTTCATTGCAAGAAGCAAAAAATTGTTTGCAAATTAAACTTCTGTGGGAGTAAAGATTTGCATTTTCATTAAAAGTATATTCATCAATGTAGCTTGAAAGATTACGAAGAGAAGAATTAGTTTGCATAACCCGTTAGTGTAATTATGTATGTTAGTTGTGATGGTAATGCAACGCTCCAATATTGCTACGAAAAACCGCCACCAATTAAACAAGAAATTTCGAGAAACATTTACATAATTGTACAAGTTGGATGAAATAAGAATTTCACAATACAGAATTTGGAAGAAAAAACACTTGTACATGTTTATCCGACAGAAGTGATGCGATTCCATGGTTTCTATACAAATGATTTTGTATAAACAATTTTTTGAAAATGATCTTTTAAGAGTCCTGACGTCGGTGAAAGCGATATACATTTCAATTCATTGTAAATCCTCATTAATCTGGCCGCCAATACTCCAGAAAAAAATTAATGAACAAACCCCTTTCCAATTTACCTAGTGACAATAATACTTCTGCATCATTCAGAAAGAATGCAAATTTTTGTTTCGTTTTCTAAAAGGAAAGTGTCTTAAAACTAGAAGACATCTATAAGACATGAATGCTTGTTTGTTTAATTTAGGCTTAATGACCCCGAAAGACAAGAAGGTCATTTTGGGTTTAAAGTGTCATTTTAAAAGAAAGCTCAAAAGACTTCACGCATCAAAAGCAACAAATTTAAATTTAAATCGGTGAAAAAGTATATAATTATATATATCAGGACTAGAAATAAATTTGAAATACCACTTGTCCATTGGGGTATTAATTTCCAATTTTTACTAGTCCATGTGAAAATTCCACTAACCTATTATTATTCAACAAGATAGGCAATAATAAATTTTGACTAGTCAATCTAATCTGGCTAGCGGTTTCTAGAACCACTAGTACTAGTTCAGCTGGAGATTTGAATAGTCTCAGACTATTGGGCTACCCTTATTGACTATATATTATACATTAAGAGCAAGAGTAGTGTAAATGATATATATTCTATTACCGAGGTTTTTCCCTGTATGTACCCAGTACTTCTAAATAATGAACGCCCTACTGCCCCTGAAGTCCTTAAAGTGATAAGAAGGAATCTGTTTCACAAAAATAGAAGTAATTGACTAATAAATATAGCAATAGTGACCTTGGCATTGACCTTGGGACACCAAGATACACATTATTCAGGGATATTCTCATACTTGACCTGAACTTTTATGAAAATCTATTAAGAAACGAGGTTACGGTAAGAGGCATAGAAATGAATTACAATTAGGGACGGAACATAATAAATATTGGTTGGACGCGACAAGACAGACGTGGGTTAAACACTATATATGTGCACCTCACATATCTTATCCATGATTACTTTAAGGTTATATGTTACCACACACATTATACACATGTGATTTGCCTTAGAGTTATCCCCCCTTTAAACACCAACTATTCTAATATACAATAATTCAAAATCACCAAAGTGGAATAAATACATGCACCTTTAATGATATAAATTTCAAATAATTAACCAACGTCAAATAAGCATAAATTTTAGACATATGACGGGTCTGTTTAAGTAGAACTCTTTTTTCTTTGTCATTAGGTGTTACTGACAATCTTATAACGTTCAATTTAATATCAATATTTCATATCAGGATACAATTTTAACCAAACACTGCATGTTATAATGACTTTGTATAGAATTCCTCCCAGACGATATCGAAAAAATTCTATGAAAATTTGTTAGTTGCACTTTAAATTTCTCATCAGTGACATTAATATAAATGTTAATTTCTCATCACATGAAACATATTGACAAAACCACAAGGAACCATAAATTAAATGCACGAGTTGCATTAAATTGGTTTTCAATCTATTTATGTTACGCAAATGCGTTGAAAATAAACCAGTTAATTTTGAAATGTTTCTAAGGTCAAGACGTCGTCCAGGCAGCTTTTACATTCGACAATATCTTAAAACTGTAAGACGGCTTACCGTTGGATTAATGTTACTATATATATAAGGAAGATGATGTTGCATGGGAAAGAACAAATTTCAAATGAATTCCGCAACATGTTGGCTGTGGACTTTCTCTCGGCAGACAGCCACGTAATAAGTGATGTGACAATAGTTGATTTGTTTCACACTCACAGCAATAGGAACAGACTATTTTAATCCTTCCGTTAGTATTCAGTTCAAATCCAGAAGGTCAACCCATTTATCACAATCGTTGTGGAAATCTACGTTCAACAGGTAATAAGATGGTTCTGACGGCTCCATTTCCTTACACTAACGAGACTATTTATTACATAACAATCCTTACCTTTATTCAACTGAAGAGTATTGAACACATCTAATACGAACTCCCAGTGTGTACGTGTCCCTTTGTCGCTGAATGTCAAGATCTGCAATTACAAAAGCAAGAAAAAAAATTGAATGCAAGTGAAAAAAAAAATCTTCAAATACTTTTGGTTGTATTGATTTACTGAAATAATGCGATAAAATATTTTTTTTCATCCGCAACAGAAAAAATAAATTATTTTCCTAAATAATTTCCGTCTGGTAGGAAGCCAATTGAACAGCAACACCGGTTGCAGTGCAACAATCATGGAAACAAATCTGTTCCTGTCAATTTTAATGTCTTAAATGAACACATTGACACAAAGATTTTCACAGGGCGCAAAAGAATTACACAGGGATTAACAACTTAGCATAGCTGAGGCTTCACAGGATCAAATTAAGATCCAGAAATCTTCAACTTATTGAAGAAGCGCAACAGTTGCATGAATTATTATCGTCTAAAGTGGCACCTAATGGAATCTTATCACTATAATGTCAACACATTCTTCCCTAGAGTACCGTTCTGCCATATAATTACATGTATGCACATAAAATATGTAAAACTGGAAAAAATCTGTATAAGACATCACATTTCTCCCTGGCTGTCTGACATCTGTAGACTGATGACAATGAATCTGTTGACAACATATAGCAAGGGTTGATCTATAAATAGCAACAGTGACCTTGACGCCGACCTAATAGGACCTTGAAATGAAAACTCATTTGAGGTATTGTCATACTTGACCTGTGTATAAACTTGGATGAAACCTTGTCAAGACTTTATCTTGGTTGAGTCATATGACAATCAAGCACAACAGGTAGAAATTGAGGTATATTCTCTTAGGATCATTTGAGAAAAAAATCAAATAACATCGTCATTTTTTTACTGAAACACACATACGTCACGTCACCAGTAAGCAGGAAGTTCTTTACTTAGCTACGAGACCATCCAAAATTTTGCAAACACATGACATTACTTCCATATTGACAGCATGGTAATGGAAAACAAGTCTCAGAAGACAATTTGGACACATACCGATGGACCGATTTTAGGAGGTTTGAACACAAGAGAAAGCTAGATCGGACATTTTTTTTCTGTACAATATCCTCCCAGTTAGTATAAAATTTCACAATCAAGCCACTTTGAAGTTGTTTGGATTATCAGGACTTATTTTATTTTGTTTAAAAACTACCTGGTAAAAGTTCAATACGACTTAATGAAAAGGCAAACACAAATATTTGTTCAGGCTACATGCATAAAAAACATGTCAATTTGACTTGTCACAGCAAAAGCTTTTGACCTTATATAGCATGAACAGAAGTAAAGTTTTGCAATAAAACGTTGTGACCCCAGAAATAAAATTTTACAAAAGAGGTAGGTTGGAAATACAGAAGTGTGACACACAACATCTCTTGTCTTCATTAAATGACAAATTTTCAGCTGCAAACATTAAAATTACTCTAATGTATTAGGTGACAGAGTACATCAGTTAATGTTTTACACAGCCTGTACGCCAAATGTTAAAAAATCATTATCAGGATTTTGAGACTGAAACTCTCCCACCCTTCCGTTATGACTTGAGTCTCGGAGACTGTGCCAAACATTATCTCTAACATAAATTTTCATTTTTCCAAGTAAACGTCACACATCATTAGTTACTCATAAAGAACCATAAAATGGTAGATATTTGCACGAGATACAAAAATATTGACAAAAATCGACAAGATATTGTGAGTCGATACAGCTAATATTCTGCAAGGAAAATTGGAGCAGATCCCGATGAAAGGGTTGCCTAGCAGCCTGTGCTTCACAAGTAAACCAGCGAAGGTATCAGCAGACATCGATATTTAGCTGCAATGATCTGACTCAATTTTTTTTCGGAAAGACATTTATAAAGATCACAAGATTGGAATTCAATTACTTGGTAATGAGACAACAATAGATGTTAAATCAGAAACAGATCCTATCGTCAAGGTTTTTAATCACATAGATCTTTTCAGTATGTTTTATTTTCTCTCTCCTGTTGAACCAATGAAAACGCATGGTTTAATTGGCCAAACCTGCACTATCTCGGGTTTAACAAAAGTTGGAACACATTTTCTGGTAGTTCCGACTGTTAGAAATTATTCAATTACCGGAAAGTGTCCCATTTTGCAAGTCTATGGAGCGATAAAGTGAACTAAACTACAACATTACTTTACTTCCAGGAAATCTTGATCAAGTCAATGGGTTTTTTTCACCCAATGTTCCTAAACTTGCGCAATAATAAACCCCAGACAAAACGTTAACTCGTGTCTGACTCCACAACATCAAGGGATGTTATGAAAATGTTCTACTGCAGTTATAGTGATAAGCAAAATTAGTCATTTTCTGCAACAAATGCCTATCCGACATGTTTTTCGTTCATAAAAGCCCTCTTTGAAAACAAACGTTCTAAAGTCACACACAGGAATCGGAATATTTCCTGGACGCCACACAACTCTATTTTGCAGCTCGTCAAAAACATTTACAGTTTAGACAACATGTCGGATAGAACACTGTTATCTTCAAGGCCAGGCAGACAGTAAAAATTCAGGGAAAAAATAAAATGCTAATTATAAAAAAATAAAAACCAAATATACATGCTGGTTATTGAAAACATTGTTTAACCAAATAATTCTAACTTCAGAGGTAAATTCTATTATTTAAATTTAGAAACATTACATTATTATTAGATAAGGTTGATTTGATTTCCACCATAGGATAAAAATCATGCAGAAAGATAAGAAAGTATGGTGCGTTGTCTGCATGATGTATTACCCTGAGTACAGAACCTCCCACTTTTCAAGCAAAGGAGTTTCCTATGGGAAGTTATACCTACAAAGGTAGCTTATAATTTCATCCCTCCTTCGTGTTACCTACTACACCCAAGTCCATGATCTCCTTTTATTAAGCCAATCAGGATTATCTTTGTAAAATGCAAGTGTAGGAAGAATTAATCTACAAAAATACCTTTATTTCTGTTGTTCTGTTTAAAACAGGCCACAGGGGACTGGGTGCGCATAATTATATAATAAAGTTATATTTTTCAGGTTTTATGCCAAAAAAGTTGCCACTGTAGAAACCTAAAGGGGAGTACAGTACACTCTGCTCCATAGTTGTACTGTAATTATAAGTGAACATATTTTAGCAGTATAATCTTCAATATTTTAGCACTTTTTGTGGTAAAAAATATGGTATATAATGTGATAATTACAGTTTCTCTTTGTAGTTATCTACACACGTGTAGACCATACATTGTAAAAGGCACCTGTACGTACTTCATCATGAATTTGTTCAAATTTCCTGATGCGTTTAAATTTGAGAGCATTAAAATATTATAGTATACTTACAATAATTTTGACATCACAATCATGAAAACAAAATAATTACCTCATGTTTAGAAAGAGTTGATCAATCAGCTTATCTGACGTATGGTCATATATATGACACAAAAGGTTTATGATCTCCCCTAAAGACTGTATGAAAAGAATTCTTAGATTTGTTTCATCAATTTCATACGAAATGGAAACTTATGTCAGATCCAATCTAAGTATTCTTTCAAAACATCATTATATAATAAATCATTATTTTTGTACTTAGTCATTATAGGTACAGTTTCATTGTCAAATAAAAGCAAAAGGGTTGCCATGGTTATTAATCCCCTGTAGTGTGCAGAAGGACAGGAAATATGCTATAGGTCGGTAGATTGTCATTTCTGATTAAATTTGTGTGGTAGATTTTTCATGTTGATATATAGACATCAATGGGAAACAGTGTCAGATTCTGATCTGTGATACTGTATGAACTATAGGTATACAATGTACCTTCGGGCCAAAAGATGGGTATTTTATTGTATTACATAATACTTGCTGATCTGAGGTAGATTAGTCGCTTGTAAACCATTTAAGTATAATATTCTACCTTGAGCAATTTATAACTGATTTGGGTATGAATTTATAAATTTGGTCGTATATGATATCTTAGACTTATACATAAACCTTTAAATCATTTGATTTTGGTTAAGTAGCAATCTTACAATTTATACCTGTAATTTGTGTTAGAGTTAAGGGTGTATGCTACCTTACACATATACATGCACCTTTGATTTGGTTTTTGGTAGAGGAGCTATCTTACAATTTATTCCTGTAATTTGTGTTAGAGTTAAGGATGTATGCTGCCTTACACACTGTACCTGTAATTTGTGTTAGAGTTAAGGGTATATGCTGCCTTACACATTATACCTGTAATTTGTTTGAAAGTTAAGGCTATAATATGCTACCTTACACTGTACCTGTAATTTGTGTTAGACGTAAGGATGTATGCTTCCTTACATATTATACCTGTACCCATGATTGGTTTTTTGGTTAAGGAGCTATCTTACAATTTATACCTGTAATTTGTGTTAGAGTTAAGGATGTATGCTACCTTACATATTATACATGTACCCGTGATTGGTTGTTTGGTAATTAAGGAGCGATATCTTACAATTTATACCTGTGATTTGTGTTAGAATTTAAGGTGTATACTTACCTTACACATGTACATTTACCTGTGAGTGGTTTTTTGATAAAGGAGTTATCTTTCAATTTAAACCTGTGATCTGTGCTAGAGTTAAGGGTGTATGCTACCTTACACACTTTACCTGTAATTTGTATTAAATTTAAGAATGTATGCTACTTTACTCATTATACCTGTGATTTGTGTCAAAGTTAAGGTTATATGCTACCTCACACTTTTTAGATTAAGAGTTTATTTTCCTTAAACATGAATGTGCATTTTCTTTTAATCCAAGAGTGCAATCAGTGCAGAAATGAATTCTCTTGACCTTTCTATTATTTACTGAAGTCTAAACTACTGCAGTGAAATTTCATAATCCGACTCCTAAATATTCTGACATCCTTACAAAATAACACCTGTGTATTCTGACATTTTGACTTATCTGACCAATCATTTCATCTCCCACGAGATGTCAGATTAAACAGGTTTCACTGTAATAAAAAAATACTATTCTCTTTTATCAATGTGAGGCTCCTTTAGAAAAGA